TGTCAAGGATGCCCCCATTCCCCCTAAGTTTGACTGGCTAAATTTTGAAAAAAGAAAAAAAAAATATGAAACAGTATCCATGGTAATATCTGTAATGAAGTCATGATACGATTGAGGCATTACATATAAAAACATGTGTTGATGGTTCGTTCTACCGTTATTGATCACTGATGCAGCTGACTCGAAGATTTGCCAGTCAGCTGCATCTCTCTCTCCTGGCTCTTGAAGTCAGGAGAGTAAACCTAGTACCAACCAGTGAAGAGTTGGGGCCAGGAGCTGTGACTTGACCCCTGTAAATCACATATACACAAGTATTTCTTAACAACGTAGAAGCAAAGTACAAAAGGATGGAGTATATGAAGACGAAGAGGTTAAAGAGTGATGAAGTGTGAGAGTAAAGTTAATAAGGTAGTGGGAGAGGTGTTATACACACATTTTACTGAGAATAAAAACAAGTTTTGGAGTAAGACCAGTAAGTTGAAAAAGCTTAGGGAACATATGACCTTATAAGTTAACCCTTTCAGGGTCCAGAGGCCAAATTTCGAAGTGTGCACCAATGTCCAAGATTTTTAAAAAAATATTTTCGTTATTTTTTCTTATGAAATGGTAGAGAATCTTTTTCTGAAGGTAATAAAACAAAAAGTACAAAATTTGATGGAAAATTGACGAAATTGTGCTCTTGCGAATTTTGATGTGTCAGCGATATTTCCGCATCGGCAATTTTGCTGACTGACTCCCATTTTAGGCCAATTACTTTATTCCAGTTGATCAAATGCTTAGCTATTTCACTAGCATTACTTCTATTCTATCGACTGAGCACAAGAAATCACCAAATCAACTGTTTCAACTACAAAATAAAGTGATCGGAAATTGGTAACTTGCCCAATTTAGTGCAAAGTTCAAAATATTCCAATTTCAAAATAGGGTTCAGAATAAACAATGCAGGCATTCCTGGCATTAAACTAACATTTCCTCTGTTCATTAGTTATGTTTTCAGTCTTTACAAATTAATTCCATTTTGATTTTTAATTCACATAATGAATTTTTATTCAAACCAAAAAATAGAAAATTTACTGTTATGTAATACTGTAATAATTGTATAAATAATATCACCACATTTGTGAACGTATATTAGACCCACCAGCTGGCGTGTATTAGATGTGTGGGATCATTTGTTTACTCTTGAACATCGGCAAAAATTTAACATTTCCACTACTTTAAGCTCAGTTTCAACCCATTTCCATTACTAAAACCAATCAAAATCATCTCTACTTCTGTAATGTATCTTCCATTCTATCAAATGAGACCAAGAAATCGCAAATACAACTGTAAAAAACATACTAAAAAACACTGCGAAGTTGCTGTTTTAATCGAAAATTACAGTCTCAGTTTTTTCTATTATGCACTGTGTGCTGCAGGATTTGTTTTATGTGGTGCACACATACCACATAGATGTTCTCTCATATCTAGGCTCAAATTTACCACTCACAGCTCATCAGAGCGAGCTGAGCTCATGGCATAGATCTACGATTTGGACCCTCAACGTAAAGCCGTAGATCTACGGCACGAACCCTGAAAGGGTTAAAATCAAGAGAGGAGATATTAGATGGGAAAGTGGAGCTACTGTGAAGATGGAGGCTGCAATTTCTTGCATTGGCCAGGGAGGTATAACAACTTTTAGGCATTAGGAAGAGTTAGATGTATGTGGGAGAGGTGTGTGAGGCAGTGGGCAGAATGAAAGAGGGTAAAAGCTGGGACAGGTGGGATTAAGACAGAAATGTTAAAAAGCAAGTGGGGATCTAGTTTTGGTGTGGATGGTGTGCATTTGTTCAATATATGCATGAAAGGAGGGAAGGTATTGAGGGATTGGAAGAAAGTATGCATAGTTCCTTTATAAACAGAATAAAAGGGGATAAAAGACAATGAAGAAATATAGGAAAATAAGCCTGTTGAGTATACCAGGTAAACTGTATGGTAAAGTTATTAATGAAAGAATTAAGGGTAAGAGAGTAGGAGTGCAAATGAACAAGAAGGTTTTAGGAGGGCATAGGGGATGTGTAGACAAGTGTTTACATTGAAGAATGTAAGTGAACAATATTTAAATAAAGGTAAGGAACCTTTCACAGTATTTATGGACTTAGAAAAATCATGATAGGGTGGATAGAGGAGCAATGTGGCACATGTTGCAAGTGCATAGAATAGGTGGTAGTTAGAGAGGTAAAGAATTTTTATGTGGGTAGCGAGGCTCAGGTTAGGGTATGTAGGAGAAAGATTATTATTTTCCAGTAAAAGTAGGCCTTAGACAGGGAGGTGTAATGTCACCATGGATCTTTAAAATATTTATAGATGGGATTATCAAGGAAGTAAATACTAGGGTGTTAAGAGGTAGGTGTGGGATTGAAAAACAATGAATCAGGTACAGAGTGGGAGTTGTTACAGTTGCTTTTTGCCAATAACAGTTCTTTTGGGAGATTCAGAAGAGAAGCTGCAAAGTTTGGTAAATAAGTTTGGGAGGGTATATAAACAAAGGAAATTAAGCCTTTCAGGGTTTCTGACTACTAGTACGGCTTACGCACCAGGGCTATTGACGTACCAGAATGCCTAAATTCTACCGCCTTCAAATCTAGTGAGAGAAAACTGGTAGGCCTACATATAAAAGAATGGGTCAATGTGGTCAGTGTGCACGGTATAAAAAAAAATCCTGCAGCACACAGTGCATAATGAGAAAAAAAAAAACTGACCGTGTTCTTGATTTAACCCTTTCAGGGTTTCTGATGTACAAGAACGGCTTATGCACCAGGGTTTTTGACGTACTAGTACGCATAAATTCCAGCGCCCTCAAATTTAGTGAGAGAAAGCTGGTAGGCCTACATATGAAAGAATGGGTCTATGTGGTCAGTGTGCACAGTCTAAAAAAAATCCTGCAGCACACAGTGCGTAATGAGAAAAAAAAACTTTGACAGTGTTTTTGGTTTAAAACAGCGACTTTGCACTGTATTTTCGTATGGTATTTATGATGGTATTCTAGTTTTCCTGGTCTCATTTTATAGAATGGAAGACATATTACAAAAATTGAAATGATTTTGATTGGTTTTACAATGAAAAGTACCTTGAAACTGAGCTCAAAGTAGCAGAAATCTTCGACTTTTGCCAAAGTTCAAAAGTAAACAAATCATGCTACGCGTCCAATACACATCAACTGGTGAGTCTAATATTCTTTCACAAGTGCTCTGATATTATTTATACCATTTCTACACTAATGCAGTAGTCTGCATAATAGTAAATTTCTATTTTTTGTGAGAATAAAAATTCAAAGTGGAAAGCAAAAGAATGTAAGAGATGTGTGGGGACGTGACTAAATAACAGAGGAAATGTTATTTTAGTGCCAGGAATGTCTTTCTTGTTTATTCTGGACTATTTGGAAATTGGCATCTTTTGAAATTTGTGTGAAATTGGCAAAATTGCTAAATTCTGACCACTTTATTGGATAGTTGAAATCGGTAAATGGGTGGTTTCTTGTAGTCATTCGATAGAAAAAATGGAGTTCTAGCGAAATAGTTATGATTTTTGTCGACTAGTACAATGAAATTAACCGAAAATAGGGCTCAAAGTGGCAAAATCACCGATGCGTAAACATCGTCGAGACCGTTAACTTCGCGAGAGCATAATTCCGTAAGTTTTCCATCAAATTTCATACTTTTGGTGTCATTATGATCGGGAAAAGATTCTCTATCATTTCATAAGAAAAAAAAAAATTTCCCCAAAAAATTTTCAACCCTGAGAACAAGTTTAGGAGAGGGCCTCTCGACCCTGAAAGGGTTAAAAGTGACTTAGTAAACAATGTGATGAGAGCATTAAAAATATAGGCAATGAAAGATTGGACATCAGACTGGAGGGAGGGAGTATGGCTGTGGCAAAGGTGTTCATATATTTGAACAGAGACTTATCAGCAGATAGGTCTATTGAGAGATGAAATGAGCCACAAAATTGATGAAAGGAAAAAGTGGGTGGTGCACTGAGGCCTTTGTGGAGGTAAAGAACTATCCATGAAAGCAAAAAGGTGGATGTACCAGAGTATAGTGGTACAAACACTTTTATGGGTGAGAAGCATGGGTTTCAAAAGTTGTAGTGAGGAGACTAGAGGCAGTATAGATATGTTTGAGGGTAGTGTTAGGGTGAATATTATGCAGAGAATTCAGAATTTGGAGACTAGGAGGAGATGAGGAGTTCAAAAGTATTATTCAGAATACTGAGCATTTGGGAAGGCCATAAAAAAAAAATATAATGACTAGGAGAGTGTATAAATCTGGGATGGAGGGAAGGAAGGGTAGGGATTGTCCTTAGAAAATGTTAGAGGGGGAAGAATATAAGGCTTTAAGTGCTATGGGCTTGGACATCTAACAGACTTGTGTGAAGATGTTAGACAGGAGGGAAGGCAAGTGGTTTTCATGACTTGACATGCTGTTGGAGTGTCAGCAAGGTAACATTTATCAAAGGTTTCCAGGAAAACTAGTTAGCCAGACTTGAGTCCTGGAGGTGGGAAATACAGTGCCGGCACTTTGAAAGAGGGGGAGAGGACGTTGTGGTTCAATCACTGTCATTAATTCAATCACTGTCTTGCCCTTTGGGCAAGACAGTGATTGAATTAATGACAGTCAAAGTGTTTCCTTCTTTGTTGGGAGATAGATGATGTTAAAAAACAAAACAGCATTACACATCAATTAACAAACACAGTACTGTAAAATTTTCAAACCAAAATTTGGAGAGAAAACTTTATATTCTGGTCCATGCTGGACCATCATATTCTGGTCCATGCTGAACCATTATCAAGTTCGAAGACTAACCTAAATATCATGTAAGTTCCTCTCTAAATTGTGGGTCAGTGGTGAAGTTCTGCAGCCACAGTATTGTCACCTGTATTCTTAAAACTGTCGCTACCATAATATTACTACAAAATCAAAATGTGAGCGAGACATGACAAGGGTCTTGCATTTATTTACCTGATGTTGCAGAGCTTGCACTTGACTTTGCAATTCATAGACTTGTGTTTCAAAGCCTCGGAGGCGATCCACCTCAGCTTCAGCTTCCTCCAAACGATCCTTATTTGGCGCAGACCTTGTTAGCGTTTCCAGCTCTCCTTCTAGCTCACTTAAGTGACCCATTTGTTGCTGAAGGTTGTGATGCTCATTCTTCAGGTGCTGGTGAGCTGCTTCAACCACACACAGTTTGTTCTGCAGCTCCAGGATCTCTTCTTCTTGTAGTCGTACTTTACTTTCAGTAATAGCATCAGTGGATGATTGTGGTGGATTGTCTTCATTGACCTTAGTGCCTTGTACTTCTTGTAGTTGCTGTGTCAGCTGAGATATTTGCTGCTCTGCTTCTTGGTAACTAACCTGCAACTGTGTGTAATGGCCAGTCCAATTTGCCCACTGTTCCTCATACCATGCAAGTTTGTATTTCAGCTCATCGTAACTCACTGATTCATCTTCCGCCAGTTCCTGCTGCTGCTGTAACTGTTCCTGCTGTTGTAATGGTTCCTGCTCTTTTAACTGCTCCTGCTCTTTTAACTGCTCCTGCTGCTGAAGCAATTCTCCCAGAGGTTGATCAGGCACTGGTTCACCAACAGGTTCCACAGATTTTGCCAACATTTCAGGTTCAGACTGATGTTCATCAAACCAACTAACTGGATCTTTTTCACTTCTTTGTTGTGTTTTATCTAAGAAAGTGAAAGGCGCCTCCTCTGGCTGGTTCCAAAAAGCTGGAGGTGATGTATCAGTTGCAGAGGCTTGGCTTACAGTTGGTGCTGCAGCTTGTGACAAGTGAACTGATTGTGGTGTTCCAATTGCCTGTTGCTCAGTACTTGGCCAAATTCCAGATGTGTCCTCACTGGCTGGCCAGCCTCCAGGTGTGTGTTCACCTGGTGACCAGACTCCTGGTGCGTGTTCACTGTGTGGCCAGCCTCCAGGTGTGTGTTCACCTGGTGACCAGACTCCTGGTGCATGTTCACTGTGTAGCCAGGCTCCTGGTGTATATTCCTGGCTTGGCCAATAACTTGATTCACCTAACTGTTGTAGTTTCTCCTCTGGCTGATAGGTCGGAGGGACCAACTGTTGTTGCAATAATTCACTATTTTGTTGCTTCTTACTAAGCTCCTCTTCAAGGGTTGATAATCTTTGTCTCTCTAGTTCTAAACTGTTCTGCATCGACACCATGTCCTCCATCTTCTTCTTCATGTCAAGCAAATTTTTCTGATCATCTTCCCACTTCTGCTTCTGTTGATTGTAGTCAGCTTCAGCAGATTTTTTCTTCTGTTCCAAAACTTTCTTCTCTTCATTAATGGTGTTAATCTGTTGCAGCGCTTCTTTAAGTTGGTCTTGAATCATCATCAACATTTCATCTTTGTCTGCTAACGACTTTCGAAGGTTACTTACCAGCGAATTTTCCAGGCTGGGCATTTCTTTGGGCTCTGGTGTTCCCAGGTCCACTTCACCCCAGTCTTCCCAAACAGACGATGCTGCTGCAGTGGTGTGTGTCTGGGTGGCCAGTGATGTTTGAAGTTGTGTGATTGTCTGTCGTGCCTCTTGCAGTTGTTGCTTTAATGTGTTGGCATTGGCACGAAGACTATCACATTCTTCTTCCAGAAACCGCGTTTTATCTTGTGTCACTGCGTGTTCAGCTAAATTATCTTGACCACTTGTTGTGTGCGAGACATTTGCAAGCTGAGACTCTTCAGTTAATTGCTTGACTTGATCTTGCAGTTGCTTCTGTCCTTCGATGCTCTCCTTTAAAGACTTTTCAGTTTCAGCTGCCACATTTTTATGCTCAATAACATTCATTTCTAAGACCTTAATTTCTTCATCTTTTAATTTAATTTGTGAATTCAGGCTTTCAATACTGGCATTCAGCTGAGTAATAATTTCAGCCTGATTTTGCACTTGCAATAAATTAGGCTGTGTGTGCAGCTCATCATCTGCCTGAGATGTGGACAACAGATCACTGTCCAAACAAGACACATCTTGCTGGTGTGTGTGTGACAAGTCAGCCATTTGGTGGAGTGTGAGTGCTTCTGTCAGCTCTATTTGGAGTGAGTCTGCTCTCTGCTGTTGCTGCTGCTGAGAGGAAACAGCATGAGCCAGTTGATTTTGCAAAGTTTGAGCTCTCTCTTGCTCCTCTTCTAAAGCTTGTTGCAGGTGCTCTATTTCCTTTCCTCTAGCTCTAAGTTCATCTTTAACTTCAATGAGATCTCTGTAGGCAGAATCCTGGCTGACTTTTGCAGTTTCCAACTCGCTCTGCAATTCAGTAGCCCATTCTTGTATATTGGATGAACCAATTTCCAAATTCTCGGTATACTCTCGACTAGTCTGCAGTTCATGTTGCAGCCTGGCAACTTCTGACTGCAAGTTCTGCATTTCTGTTCTCAATGATTCCATTTCCTTCGTGCTGCTCTCTTGCTGACTGGCTATTTCTTTCTCCACTGTTTCAAGGTCGGTTGCTTTCATCTGCAGTTGCTCTTCATACTGGGACACCAAAGTGGTAACTTTTTTATATTCATGATTATTTTTTTCTATGTTACTTTGGGCTGTACTTAGTTCTTCTTTGGTTTTGTCCAACTGCTCCTGTACCTGTGTCAACAGAACCTGTGTTTCGCTTAACTGGCCTCGAGACTGCTCAAGTTCAGTCTCTTGTTGCAAAAACTTTTCCTGAATTTCAGCTAAGTGATTCTGGGCATGAGAGAGTTGCTCTTGGGTATAAACAAGAACTTCCCGACTCTGTGTCAGCTCACCTCTCAAATCCCTTATCACAGCATTATTATTCTCCACCTGGAGCTGAACCCGCTCAAACTCCAGTGTAATTTCTGAGAGGCGTTCACTCTTTTCTAAGGCTTCAGCTTTCCAATTCTCTGCTTCTAAAGCCTTACTTTTCACCTCGCTTGCGAGGCTTCCGGCTGATGTTTCTCTTGCCTGCACTTGTTGCTCCTTCTCTGCAAGCGCCTGTTTCAGCATTTCAATATCTTGACTCTGCTGGTTAGATTTAGAAATATACTCTGAATTCAAATGTAATAAATGCTCATCTTTTTGATGAAGTAATGACTTTACTTCACTCATCTCCTCTTCTAAAATGGATTTAGATTTAGCCAATGTCTCATTTTCATTATGTAAATGATGTAGTTTTTGTTCCAGAGCAGTTTGCTGTACATTAAGCTTTTCTATAAATGATGATGACTCTTCCAGCTCTCTCTCAAGCTTCAGCAAAGCTTCTTCCTTCCCAGACACACACAGGTTAAGGTCAGTTATTTTCCCTTCTAAACTACTATAATTATTTTGAAGTTCATCCAATGCTAAATTCTTTTCACAGATTTCTTGTTCATATTTTGAAATCACTATTTGGTTATTGTGTATTTCCTGCACTTTAGTTTCCAACTCCATACTAGAGGCTTCCACTTGGTTCTTGTAGTCACTCAACATATCCGAGACAATATTCAATTCTGATTCATATGACACTTTTGTTGTTTCTAGTTGCTTGGTAATATTCTTAAGCTCTTTTTCCAATTTATCAACTGCTTCATTTTTCAAAGTCAATTGTTCATCTTTGTGTAACACTGATTTCTGCAACTCTTCAATCTTACTCTCCAGAGTGCTTATTTGTGATTCCATTTGTTCAAGCATGTTTATGTGATCAGTGAGCGACTTGTCTTTAGATTTGAGTTGGTCCTGTAAATGTGAAACCTCACCCACAAGATTCTGAATGGTTATGTTCTTTTCATTTACAGTTCTGTTTAAGCTTTGAAGCGTTTCATTAACCAATGCAGCCTCTGCTTCTTGCGAGTGTAATGCCAATGACACCTCTGATACCTTACACTCCAACTCTTCTACAGACCTGAATGCTTCACTGGCTTTCTCAATCTCTCGATGATATTTCTCACTCACTTCCTCTAGTTCCACCTTCTTCTCTTCCAGTGTTTCAGTTACCACCTTCAACTGGGTCTCAAGACCAGCCACAATATCATCGTGCTTATCAAGTTTGATGGAGAGAGTTGTGATTGTATTTTCTTTATCTGTAAGAATGTTCATGAGGCGCTTACATTCTCGAACCTTTGTTTCCTTTTCTTGTAAAGCTGCTGTCATTTTGTCTTCACACTCCTGCACAGCTGTCATCTGACTTAGGTATTTGGTCTCCCACTCATCCTTTTCTTTCATGGCACTCTGTAATGATTCTTCTAAACTTCCCTTCTCTGCCATTAACTGTTCCACTGGTGCCTGCTTACAATCAACTACCTGATTTTCAAGCTCTATTCTGGCTTTCTCTGCTATGTCTCTCTGTTCTTCCACCTCACAGAGTCGAAGCTCAAGGGTGACTTTAGCTTGACTGATTTCCGCCAGATTTGTTTTAGCACCAGCTAACTCAGACTCCAGATCAAATATTCGGTTTTCCCGTTCGTTGGTGCCCTCAACCAGTTTGATTTTTTCGGTCTCCAGAAGGGTGATAGCACTTAACTGTGAGTCTAAGTCATTATTGAGCTGCTTTATTTTATCCTCTAATTTATTTCTAGAAACTGTCAGCTTTTCATTAGCAGCTTTGAGATCATCAAAATCAACTAACTTTAATTGAAGGTTCCCTTTCTCCTCTTCCAGCTCTGCTATAGAGTTTTGAAGCATTACAATTTGTTCCCCAGCATTACCATCTTCCTTTATATTTCGCAATTGTTTTTCGAGTGCATTCAGTTTTTTCTGGCCATGAGCTTCAGCTTTTACAAGTTTGTGTTTGAGGTCTTGAAGAATAGAATCTTTCTCTTCCGCTGATTTTCTATCACATTCCGACTGGCTTCTCAAGGTCTTAGTGTCAGCTTGCAAGGTGACAATCTTCTCCTGCAGCTCGGCATTACGAGTGCTCAACTCGAAGCGGAGATTCTCCAGTCGGCGGCCATTGTCTTCCAGTTGAGTTATCTTTTTAACTTTCTCTTTTAATTCCTTTGTCAAACACTCTTTCTCAGAAACAAATTCCTGCTCTTTTACAATGAAATCTTCTTGCATCTTCTTCATTTGGTATCTAACTTCCTCTAGCTCCTCTAGTGTTTTCAAGCTCTTCTCATCCTGAGCTTTGGCGACGAGAGCAACTGCCTCAGTACGCGACTCAATCACTCTGTCTTTTTCACTCAGACATTCACGCAACTCTTGAATTATTTCTTCTAGCCGGTTATTTTTTTGCGTCAACTCCAAAACGGTGTTGTCTTTATAAATGATTTGTTGGTAGAGTTTTTGTGTGATTGATTCTTCAGAGATGGCTCCCCTACCCTCCTGTAGCGACTGTATTACAGTATCTCGTTGCTCAACTTCCGTTCGTAGTCGTTCGATTCTGGACTTCATCTCCTCCATGGCTGCACGTTTCTCTGCGTTCTCCTTCTGCTGGAGCTCAAATTTGAGTCGGTTTTCCTCCAGTTGTTTCCTCATGAGCAGTATCTTGGCTCTGCTGCTACTTTCAGATGAGGGTAACCTCTTCTCTTCTACTTGCTTCTCCTCCACAACACCATGGACCCTGGCTTCACTGCTCACATCCACTGTTTCAAGTCCCGACAAACTGTCCTCTGATGAACCCAGAGGCTCGACTCTCTCTGGAAGCACTGGTTTCCTCTTAGCACCCACTCTTCCCAGGCGAGGTTTGATTTTTGCCAATCTAGCAGCATAGTCCTGTTAAAAAAAAAAATTATATGACAGGTATTTATCTATACCATACAAAACATTAATATAAGCTGCAATCATTTTATGCGAGTCACATGCAAATTTGCCATTGCAAAAAATTTAATTTTTATTGGTAAATCAATACAGCCTCTCCTCACTTAGCGACATACTCATTTAGCGATGCCTCGGACTTAGGATGGGCTCTCTGACCAGCATTCATACCTAAATAATGTATATTAGAGCTGATTTTCTCTATTCTGTTTATTTCAATATACAGTACACTACTGTATTAACATTTAAAAATATACCAGAAATGTTATAAATGGTGCAAAGGTGACATTAAAACAATATCAAAGATGGTTGACACAAACTCACTACTGTTATAACATGCTCCTCACTTAGTGACAAATTCATTTAACGACGTGGTCTTAGAAATGGAACTCCGTTGTTAAGTGAGGAGAGGCTGTACTATGTTCATTCATCACAAGCAATCAATGAGGTTCACAAAGGTACCAAATTTTTTTTTTCAATGAACCAGCCATATCCCACCAAGGCAGAGTGAACTAAAGAAAAATGCAAGATATTCTTTTTACATTTAGTATTTTATACAGAAGAGGGGAGTTACTAACACCTTGCTCACGGCATTTTAGTTGCCTCTTACAACACACGGAGACCTGAATAGTATTCTTATGAAACAAAATGTAGGAAGCCTGACTACTACTAGTTTTACATTCACTGGGAAGCACCAAACCTGTAGGGATCAAGCAGTGCCTGGGGAAATGTGAGTCAAGCAACTGGAACAGGTTCAATTCCTTGGATCAAGAGCCCCTCAGCAGCATAAAAAAACTTTTCCTAAAATCTGATGAAAACCTAATTCGATGAAAACTGAAACAATATTTCCCATAAGAAATAATGTAAATCCAATTAATCCGTTCCACACACCCACGCCAGAGGCATGCTTACACTATATTTATAAAACTGCAACATTAACACCCCTCCTTCAGAGTACAGACACTGTACTTAACATCTCCAGGACTCAAGTCCGACCTGCCGGTTTCCTTGAATCCCTTCATAAATGTTACCTTACACTCCAACAGCATGCCAAGTCCTAAAATCCATTTGTCTCAATTCGCTCCTGTCTAACACACTCACGCATGCTTGCTGGAAGTCCAAGCCCCTCGCACACAAAACCTCCTTTACCCCCTCCCTCCAACCTTCCCTATGCCATCTTCCCTCCGCTACAGAATTGTATACTCTCAAAGTCATTTTATTCCATTCTATCCTCTCTACATGTCCTAACCATCTCAATAACCCCACCTCAGCCCTCTGGATAGTAGTATTGGTAATCCCACACCTCCTAATCTCCAAACTACAGATTCTCTGCATTATATTCACACCACACATTGCCCTCAGACATGACATCTCCACTGCATCCAGCCTTCTCCTTGCTGCAACATTCACAACCCATGCCTCATACCCATACAAGAGCATTGGTATAACTATACTTTCATACATTCCCCCCTTTGCTTTCATGGATAAAGTTCTTTGTCTCCACAGACTCCTCAGTGCACCACTCACCTTTTTTCCCTAGTCAATTCTATGATTCACCTCATCCTTCATAGACATATCTGCTGACACATCCACTCCTAAATATCTGAACACATTCACCTCCTCCATACACTCTCCCTTCAATCTGATATCCAAACTTCCATTACCTAATTTTTTGTCATCCTCATCACCTTACTCTTTTCTATATTCACATTGCAGGTGTATGGTGTAGGAGGTAGGTTACTGAAAGCAGTGAAGAGTTTTTACGAGGATAGCGAGGCTCAAGTTAGAGTATGTAGGAAAGAGGGAAATTATTTCCCAGTAAAAGTAGGCCTTAGACAAGGATGTGTGATGTCACCTTGGTTGTTTAATATATTTATAGATGGGGTTGTAAGAGAAGTAAATGCGAGGGTCTTGGCAAGAGGCGTGGAGTTAAAAGATAAAGAATCACACATAAAGTGGGAGTTGTCACAGTTGCTCTTTGTTGATGACATTGTGCTCTTGGGAGATTCTGAAAAGAAGTTGCAGAGATTGGTGGATGAATTTGGTAGGGTGTGCAAAAGAAGAAAATTAAAAGTGAATACAGGAAAGAGTAAGGTTATGAGGATAACAAAAAGATTAGGTGATGAAAGATTGGATATCAAATTGGAGGGAGAGAGTATGGAGGAGGTGAATGTATTCAGATATTTGGGAGTGGACGTGTCAGCGGATGGGTCTATAAAAGATGAGGTGAATCATAGAATTGATGAGGGGAAAAGGGCGAGTGGTGCACTTAGGAGTCTGTGGAGACAAAGAACTTTGTCCTAGGAGGCAAAGAGGGGAATGTATGAGAGTATAGTTTTACCAACGCTCTTATATGGGTGTGAAGCATGGGTGATGAATGTTGCAGCGAGGAGAAGGCTGGAGGCAGTGGAGATGTCATGTCTGAGGGCAATGTGTGGTGTGAATATAATGCAGAGAATTCATAGTTTGGAAGTTAGGAGGAGGTGCGGGATTACAAAAACTGTTGTCCAGAGGGCTGAGGAAGGGTTGTTGAGGTGGTTCGGACATGTAGAGAGAATGAAGCGAAACAGTGACTTCAAGAGTGTATCAGTCTGTAGTGCAAGGAAGGCGGGGTAGGGGTCGGCCTAGGAAAGGTTGGAGGGAGGGGGTCAAGGATGTTTTGTTTGCGAGGGGCTTGGACTTCCAGCAGGCATGCATGAGCGTGTTTGATAGGAGTGAATGGAGACAAATGGTTTTTAATACTTGATGTACTGTTGGAGTGTGAGCAAAGTAACATTTATGAAGGGGGTTCAGGGAAACCGGCAGGCCGGACTTGAGTCCTGGAGATGGGAAGTACAGTGCCTGCACTCTGAAGGAGGGGTGTTAATGTTGCAGTTTAAAAACTGGCAAGACAGTGATGGAGTGAATGATGGTGAAAGTTTTTCTTTTTCGGGCCACCCTGCCTTGGTGGGAATCGGCCAGTGTGATGATAAAATAAATAATAATATAAATAACTTCCTTCTTTTACATACCCTACCAAACTCATCAACCAACCTCTGCAATTTCTCTTCAGAATCTCCCAAAAGCACAGTGTCATCAGCAAAGAGCAACTGTGACAACTCCCACTTTGTGCTACATTCTTTATCTTTTAACCCCACACCTCTTGCCAACACCCAAGCATTCGCTTCTCTTACTACTCCGTCTATAAATATACTGAACAACCATGGTAACATCACACAGTCCTGTCCAAGGCCTACTTTTACTGGGAAATAAATAATCCCCCTCTCTCCTACATACTCTAACCTGAGCCTCACTATCCTCGTAAAAACATTTCACCACTTTCAATAACTTACTTCCTATTCCATACATTTGCTACATCTGCTGATTTAATACTGAACAATTCTCTCAACCTGTGTTATCCCTGTCCTTGTCTGCCATTCCTTCATTTCATGTACAGTGGACCCCCGGTTAATGTAATTAATCCATTCCAGAGCGTGTCTTATACCGAATCTGACTTAATCCGAATTAATTTTCCCCATACGAAATAGTGGAAATCCAATCTGTTCCAAACACCCCAAAGTATTAAACAAAATAATTTTTTTGCACGAAATATACATTTCCCTACACAGAAAACAATGAGACATGCAGAATAAACAATACTAAAATGACACTTACCTTTATTGAAGACTTACTGATGAGTTATGAGATGAGAGGATGGAGGTGTACTATTGTTTAGAAGGGTAATCTCCCTCCATAATGACTTCAAGTACCAAATTCTTTTCCAGGGTTACTTCCTTTCTTTGTTTTTTAATCCTTAAACGTCCAAACATATATACATTCACTCACGCAGCTCCCCAATATTTTGAAAAAAAAAAAAATCAGAAAAAAAGGGCACATTTTTTAAGTGTTTTAGAATAAAAAAAAAATTAGGGTCAGTACTTACCGAGATATGAGGCCGAGAAGTTGGCACTGGATGCTCATGTAACAACAACATGGAGTCCTGCCGCTTGCAGAAGTGTTGCTGATATACCTTTTTTTCTATTTTTCATATTATTTCATATTATTTTCATAGTAGTTCTTGTCATTTCATAACCAATCTTCGTTCTGACACTAGTATTAGGTACTGAAGTTGTACTCAAATTATCACACACACACTGACAGTGGACATTTACTATTTTCTTGGAATATAAACAAACTATTTATATGTCCCAGTAATGTTTTGGATATGCAACTCACTCCACTTTGTACACATATCCTTAATCAGTGAAGAAGGCACATTCTCCCCTCTCTCTTCCTCTTCCTCTGAAGCAATTTCCTCAGCTGCAATCTGTTGCTGTTCCAGTTGAAGGTGTTGCAGCTCTTCAGTTGCTACAAGTTCTTTCTTCAATTCTATTGTATTTCTCGCCTTCTTTATCAAAGGAATAGTACTTGGAACTTTCTTTGGCCCCATGGTGGCTTATTTAGCAGTTGCACTCAATAAACAAGAATAAAAAACAATGGATTATTATGAAATGTTTTGGATGAATGCACAGGGTAATGCTCTCTCGACGAGAAATGAACCCAGACTGACTCAACGCGTGGGATGCTTTGTGTGGGCGCGGGCAGGTGGACACATTCGGTATGGCAGACCGACGAAAACCGAGGTGATGAACGAAAACTGGGACAAAATTTTGACGAAGAAGTGTCATCAAAAACCGAATTTGACGAAAACCAGGGCAAACAAAAACCAAGGTTCCACTGTAATCAGAATTCGGTAATTTGATCAATAGCAAACAAAATTACAAATACGTATGCCAATTTAAAAATAGAGTTCATAATAAACAATGTAGACATTCCCTGGCACTAAAACATCATCTACTCTGTTCATCAGTAACGTCCCGAGGCCTCTCATATTAAACTTGCTTTCCGCTTTGACTGCTCATTCACACAAAAATAAAAGATTTAGTTTGTTTCTCAGATAAAATATAACCAGGAGAGAT